CCCCCCCTTTCCCAATCCCCCCCTTTCGTCCGGCCCGAGAAACCCGGCCCTGAGACCCCCATGGCGTCCATGAACTTTTGAGGTGGGCACGTCACCAGGGAAACGAAACTCGGAGGTCCGCGCGGATTTCTCGGATCGGCGCTGGACCCCGCTCTCTGGCGCGCGGAGCGCGCCAGGGGCGGCGCCAGGGGCGGCGCCAGGGGGGTCCAGCGCGGATCCGAAAAGTCCGCGCGGACCTCCGAGTTGTTTTGTGTATGTCATTGTTCGTACCTCTAGTCACGCTTTCCATTGCAAAACCATCGAAACCCAAGAAACCCAGGGCACCCTGGAGGCAGGCAGGGTGTTTCTTGGTATGGGTCTCCACTGTACACGCAGAAATGACCTCCCGCCGTGATTTTTTTACCAGCCCCCCAGTCAGAGCCTGAGCATTTTCTTAGGATGGAGGGCTCAGGGAGATCTGAGCTTCTGCGCATCGAAAACCACTCCGCCTCGTGCTTCACCACTGGCAGGCTCGAGCCTCGAAGCTCCTTCGAGACGGCACTTCGAACTTCACCCTTTGCCCTCCGCCCCGAGAAACTGCTCCGAGAGCAGGAACTGGCCATCGCACGGACGTCCATTCCCTGTGTTTTTTTCGGTTTTGTGCGTGGTTTTTTCGCCAAATGATCAAGGATGCTCCTCGAGGGTCCTCGCCGAAGGAAAAATGCACACGTCCGAGCGATGCCAAGCGGCGGTGTTAGACCAACGCCGGCTGCAGTAGGGGCTCGGCCACAAGAAACCTTCCACAAGAGACCCAACCCTGAGACCCCATGGCGTCCACTGACTTTTGATGTGGGCACGTCACTAGGGGAACGAAACTCGGAGGTCCGCGCGGATTTCTCGGATCGGCGCTGGACCCCGCTCGCTGGCACGCGGAGCGCGCCAGGGGCGGCGCCAGGGGCGGCGCCAGGAGGGGGGGGGGGGGGCGAAGGAAAAATGCACACGTCCGAGCGATGCCTAGGGAAGCTCTTGCACGCGTGTGCCAGAGCACGGGCCTGCCCCGCCAGGGGGAAGCCGCCTTCGGCCCTCGGCAGGCCACGCGGGCGGAGCGGCGAGCCGCCGGGCCACCCCGTCGCCGGACCGGCGACGGGGTCGCCGCCCCCCAGCCGCGGTGTGAGGGGGGCTCCGAGGAGGTCGTTCGACTACACACAAGAGTGACCTCCTCCTCCTCCTCCTCCTCCTCCGGCACCTCCTGCACCTCCTGCACCTCCTCCTCCTCCTCCTCCTCCTCCTCCTCCTCCTCCTCCTCCTCTCCTCCTCTCTCCTCCTCCTCCTCCTCCTCCTCCTCCTCCTCCCTCCTCCTCCTCCTCCTCCTCCTCCTCCTCCTCCTCCCCTCCTCCTCCTCCTCCTCCTCCTCCTCCTCCTCCTCCCCCCTCTTCCTCCCCTCCCCCACCCCATTCCGACTGCACGCACGGGTGGCCTTGGGTAAGAGTGACCGTTGGTGCGCGGCTTTTTTGGGGCCGTGGGGGGGCCAAGCACAAGGGCACAAGACTCTACTATCGCATCGCCTTCGGCGATCGGGGGACCCCAACGGGCCCGCACCAAAGGTCGCTCTGGCGACGGGTCACTCTTGCGTGAAGTCGACGACTCTCCCCCCCAACCCCTTCGCGTCGTGAACAAAATCACGACGGGAGATCATTCGCAATTTTCGGCCTCAGGGGGCCCTTACCGGTCCCCAGGACCGTCAAAAATAACGGCCGAGGATGAAGAGCTGGTCCCGGAGAAGGGAGCTCTTCGGCATCGATGAGCTAGAGGAATTCCGGCGCGGGGTGGAGCTAGTTGGCCCACCCGGCCGAGGCGGACAATGTGGTAACTTTTGGGTGGTTGTCCGAATATTTGAAAGATATTTGACCATTTATTTTGAGAAAACAAATTTTTCGCACCTGTAGTGGGTTAAGGCGCGCCTGCCAGTACAATTTTCAGGTCCGTAGCTGTAGTATTACTATCAAAACACTTGGGGGAATCAACGTTGGATAAAAACAGAAAAACGTGATTTTTCGAGTTTCTCAGGTCTTGCTCTAGACGCTTTCTTCATGCTTACCGATGAGCGTCGTGTGAGAAAAGAGCTCTACGAGGGCCCCGGCGGTAACCTGGGGGTCGACGGTGTGACAAAAATCACGAAGTCGGGGACAACCTCCGCCACGGTGCCCTCACAGAGGCCCGGGAGGAAGGCGGCGATGAAGCGGTGGCGGCTCGCGGGGCCCAGAAGTCCAAGACCGTGCGCGACCACTACTCGAAGCCCAAGGCGGAGCGGCGATATGTTCTCGTCGCGCCCCGAGGGTCTGGGCCCAGGAGCCACGAAAGTGGAGAAGCCGTTCAGACTGTGCCTCCATGCGAAGATAGGCGGCGAGCGAGGGTGGGAAATGAGAAGGAGAAGGCCTTCTCAGACGGCGGCGGGGCTTCTCAGACGGCCTCCAGCCTCCTGAAGGTTTTTGTTTTGTGTTCCTTCGGGGAAGGCTTAGAAAACTTCTCAGACGGCTGGGGGACTTCCGAGCATTCTGAAAAAGGCCCGCCCCTCCTCACTTCCCCCCCTCGCCCGCCGCCGAGAAGAGCCTGGGACACTGTCGGTGGTGCAAAAGCACTGCGGCCGCGGCCGTGCCCGAGCTGCCCGTTGGCGCCGGGCAGCCCTCACCGCAGGGGGGGCCTGGAACGTGCCCCCGCTCTCGCGGCCTCGCGCCGGAGGAGGCGCGCCCGAGTCCGCCGCCGAGGACGAGGACGACTCGCTCGTCAGCGAGTCTGGGAAGCCCGGTGACCAGTGTGGCAAATCTGTGAATGCGATCTCTGGCCGGCCCTGGATTGTATGGTCAGCTTAGGCGTGGAACTCTCGGGGACAAGAAGGGTGCGGGGACGGGTGCGTCCAAGGGTGATCGAACGGGTGCGCGCGCGACGCGCGCAGGGCCCCTGCATTAGGAGACGTTCCACATGCCATCACGCCAAGCCGAGAGCGACGAGCTGCACCGGCTCTTCAGAAGGCCCACGACCTCAAGCAAAGGCTGACCAATGACACCACCGACGCTTGGCGGGTTTGCTCTGGACTACACTCGTGCCAGAGTGCCAGAAGGGGGCAAAGCAGGCCGACAAAGAGCTCGGTGATCAGAGCTGACTGCGGCCGGAATTGACGGGTCGGTTGCATCTTGACGTTGTCAAAGCTCCCCCCCTGCTCAGCTGCCCACGCGCGCTGGGCTCAACACAACTGGACGAGGAGGGAGGATCCAGGGCTTCGACGCGTCCAACGACGGGCTTTCCGAAGGCGACGCCGCCCGCCTCGCCTGGAGCCCGACCTCGCGGAGAGCGCCACGGAACTCCTCGCCGAGGAGGCCCCCGCCGGCGCAGTCCAGCAGAGAGCTTGGCAGCGGCGTGCTCCGCGGCCCTCCTCGCGGCCATGCCGCTCCGGGGCCCCCCCCCGCGGCGCAGGGGGCCTCCCGTGGGCCTCCTGGCCGCCCCAAGCGCGCGCGCGGCGGGCACGAACGGCGCGGCGCGCGTGCAGCCCGCGCTCTGCGGGGGGCTGCTGAAGCTCGCGCCGGTGCCGCGGCGGTGGCGACAGGTCGCAGCATTTCTTGCGCTTCTGTTGATGCCTCTGCCTTCGCCTCGGGATGCCTGCGACTCTCTGTTCTGGAGTTCGAGGGTCCAGCAGGCATGCTGTCCACGACATGCTTCGTAGGAACAAGCGGCCGTAATTTTGGACGCCCGAAATGGGTACGGAAAGAATGGGTCCGATGCCCAACAGCAGTTACTGTTCATTTTGAACAGGGCTCGCTGTCCGCGCCGCCGCGGCCTGTGTCCATTTGAGACAGGAGGCCGCCTGCCCAACAGCGGCCGCTGTTGGTTCGGGACAACACTTGCTGTTGGGCATTGTACCCACTATTTCCGTGCCCATTTCGGGCGTCCAAAATAATGAAGATAGGATTCTCGAAATGCCCCGCGCCCGGCGGCCGCTCCGCCCACTGCTCCGTCGGGGCCGCCGCCGCTGGGCCCGTCCGCCGGAGGACGGCCGCGCACATGCAGGCGGAGGTCCAGGCTTCTGCGCCGGCAGGAGGTGCGGGCCCCTTGGAGCACAGCAGCCAGAGGTGGCTCCTCCTCCTTCTCCTCCTCCGCCTCCTCCTCCTCCTCCCCCTCCTCCTTGACACTGTCCTGCTCCTCCTCCTCCTCCTTCGCAGTGTCCTGCTTCTCCTCCTCCTCCTTCTTCTTCTTGACCAATGTCCTGCTCCTCTCCCTCCTCCTCCTCCTCCTGTCATCGGCTTCCTCCTTCTGCTCCTCATGAGTATCCACAATACCCCTCTTCAGTCCCACATATCTCTCTATCTCTCTGTGCCTATCTATGTCTATCTGTCTGTCTGTTTGCCTGCCTGCCTGCCTACCTGCCTTTCCACCCGCCCGCCCGCCCGTCCGTCCGCCTGTCTGTCCGCCTGCCTGCCTGCCTGTCTGCCTGCCTGCCTGTTTGTCTGTCTGTATCTCTCATTCTCCCTCCTTGTCCTCCTCCTCCTTCTCCCTATCTGCTCTCCTCCCTTCACTATTTCTACACACTTCCTCCTCGCTTCTCTTCCTTGTGCTCCCTCATGTTGGCGTCCTCCTTCTCCTTCTCATACTTCCTTCCTCCTTTTTTCCCTCCGACGCCTCTGACCACCTACCGTGACACGCAAAGGACTCGAAAGTGAACGTTGCATTACACATCGAACTCAGAGTGAACTCTGAATTATGGTGCTCGGGCACGCTTGGCAGACCGAGGCTTATAACATAAGATGGACACGGACTTAATGGCGTCGTCGAACGCCACGGCCTCTGCAATGCACGATGACACTGGGTGCTAAAACTGCACCCATCGAAACTCATCCTCCTCCCGATGCTCCTCCCGTTCCTCCGCCTTCTGTATTCTCATCCCGATGCTCATCCTGCTCTCCCCTGGGTTCTCCTCCCTGTCCTCCTCCCTCCCTTGCCTCTCCTCACCTATCTCCTGCTTTCCTCGCCCCAGTGCAGGCGCGGCACAGAAGCAATGCAAACACGTCAGAGTAGTAGCCCTTCGGTTCGTCCCTGGCGTACTCGTCCGCCTGCGCTGGGGATAGATGATGGAGAGGCGGATGACGATGATGATGCTGATGATTACGATGATCATGGTAGAGATGGTAATGATGCTGATGGTTCCGATGCGGGTGCTGATGCTGCTGCTGATGATAATGGTTACGACAATTACGATACCGATGACGATGGCGACGACGATGGTGACGATGCTGCTGCTGATGAGAATGGTGATGATGATGATGAGGCTTAAGATGATAATGATGCTGCTGATGATGCTGATGATGACGATGCTGATGATGACGATGATGACGATCATGATGATGACGACGCTGATGACGAGGATGATGAAGATGATGATGTTGCTAATGCTGGTGATGATGCTGACCATGACGACAATACTGGTGATACTGATGATGGTGCTGATGCTGCTGATTGTGATGATGATACTGATGATGCTGATGATGATGATGATGATGATGATGATGATGATGATGATGATAATGATGATGCTGATGATGATTATGATGGTGATTCTGAATATGATTATGATTATTTCTATTACTGATATTAGTATTACTATCATCATTATTATTCTGATTATTCTTATTATTACAACTACTACTATTATTATCATATTGCCAGTGTCATTATTAATATCATTAGTGTTAACATTCGCATTCTTATTGTTCGGATGATTATAATGATTCGGATTGCGGCGATGATTATGCTGATCAAGGTGGTGGTGATGATGAGGACGAGGGAGGACAAGGGAGTCAGAGGAGGAGGAGGAAGAGGAGGTGGAGGTGGAGGAGGAGGAGAAGAAGGAGAAGGAGGAGGAGAAGGAGGAGGAGGAAGATGAAGAGGAATAAGAAGAGGAGCAGAAGGAGGACGAGTGAGGACAGGTGACCCGGAGGAGGACGAGGAGGAGGAGGAGGATGAGGAGAGAACATGCTATGCATGGAACCAATACATGTACACTGAATGTCTATGAATTGTGAGTTCCATGGGTCCCCGGAATTTGTATTGAAAGTCGGAGGCTATGATACACTCCTGTGAGGGTGGAGGCTTAAATGCACTCCCTTGATGGTGGAAGGGCGTATGGTACCCTCCCGTGCACACCCGGTAGTGCTCACAGGGCCTTCGCACCATCCCTTTTATAGTGGGACGGTGGGTAAGTAGCCCGCCCCCCCTGACGCTGCGCGTACGGCGCTGGGTTGGTGGGGATTTATTGAAGTCAATGCGCGTCGTCCCTTCCCACCCATCCAGCAGGCGAGCAAGCCGAGCAAACAGAGCAAGCAGAGCAAGCACGCAAGCAGAGGAAGAGACGGGCAGGGGCATGGGGAGGAAAGGCCGGTACACCCAAAAGAGCACGCCACGGTTTGATTCGCCAACAGTTTTCGCACCAGCGCCGACGGCCCCCGACATCCAGCAGGAGACGAGCGTCGTAGCGGCACGCCCGTTGTCAACGTCCTTGCCACCATGTCTAAAGCGCGAGGAGGGAGCCCGGGGGGGGGCCCAACCATCCGCCAGGCGGCAGGAAGGAGGTGGATGGGGAAGGGCAAGCCCTCGAGGGAAAGAGAGGGGGGAGGAGGGGGAGGAGGAGGGGGAGGAGGAGAAGGAGGAGGAAGAAGACGATGATGATGATGATGATGATGATGATGATGATGATGATGATGATGATGATGATGATGATGATGATGAT